ACAAAGGGAGTAGAAAATTTAATTCAAGTTGAAAATCCAAATAGGGTACAAAAGAAAGCAAAAAAATTATCCCAATTAAATCAATCTTTAGATTCAGCGAAGCCAGATTTATCTCGGAAAGAACGGTAAAAATCAATGAATCGTGAAGAGATTTTACATATATTAAGAATTCACAAATATATAATTTTTACTTTTTAGAGAACAACTGGAAAAGCAGAGAGCATATGCAAACTATCAAAAATTACACGCGGCAGGTAAAACAGACGAAGCACGCGCAGATCTAGCACGATTAGCCATAGTTAAGCAACAACGAGAGGAGGCTGCTAAAAAACGAGAAGCCGAAAAAAAGCAGAAGGAGCTTGCTCTACAAAGAAAAACGGAACTTAGGCAAAAAGCACTCGGCAAAAAATCCTAGAACGTTTCAACTTGAGTCAATTATAAAACACTTTATATCACAGCTACTATTACATTAATAATGTTGAACAGTTTAAAACCTACTTTTGTATTGATACTAATTGACTAAATCAATTCACGCATTTACAATATGCGTTTGATGAAAATATCCTTGTTTAATTATGTATAAATACAATTATTACAATAACTAAACTATATCGGCATTTGTATTCAATTTTTTCCTATGGCGTTTAATTTCATTTTACCAAATTGTCTATTTCTTATAAAATGAATGAAATATCACAATTATTCAGAAGCTTCAAAAAAAAAAAAAAACAAAGTGGAATACGACAGTCATTTAAATTGTGAATGATCGAAAGTAAAGTATAAACTGAATCCTTGAAACACATGCAAAGTATTGAAACTTGGTCATAATATCAAATTAAATCACGTAAAAAGTTCATCGATTTCATTAAGTACAACTTAGCACTAGTTAGAGAGAAGAATGTAATGGAGTGGAAGACAGTTAAGCTTCTGCAGTCGAGGTGATACGATGTGGTCGGATGTTATTTATGTCGCGTTGTTATTGTTTTGTGTGTTTATTGGGTTTTATTATCGAAAAATCGAGGAGCCGCATGTGAAAAAATGGATCGGCACAATTATTGGTGTTATAATAACAGCACTCGTTACTGGAAGGCATATTTTTCATCCTTTAATCTTTACTTTGATTAACGCGATTATTATAACCAAGCTTTCACCAAAGTATGATATACTAATTCTTTATTTCAGTTTTAGAAGTATTAAATCTTATCAGTCAAGTGTCAAAATGTGTCAAAATGATTTCAATCTTGGCTTAAATACTTTTGAAGTAATTGATAATTTTATCATACGCCTTTCGTTCGATGATATAACTTTCTTATACTTGATTTTATCTTTAAAATTATAAATACAATTTGAAACTACAAATACAAGTGATATTAGAAATTTGTTTTTCTTAAAAATACATATAATCAAATAATATGCTATTATACCATTATACTTAAGAGACGTAATTATAACTCGTTAAATATCAAATTACTGCCAATTGCAACTTGATCGTCGAGTAATGGTATTAATGCAATGAAAGTCCTTACTTTCTAGTGTTCTAGTTTCATTTTATAATTTACATAAAATTATTTAATATTATATAAAATTTATTACTAATTAATATTCGATATTGAGTAAAATTTGAAAAATGATTTATGTTTTGAATATTCTTACATATTTTTTTCTATGTTCTTTTCATATTTAAATAGATTTTTTTTTCATATTCTTTTCATATATAAATTTTTAAAAATTTTTCTTACTGTTTACAGGAAATGTCATCTGGTCAGCTTTTTTTTTTCATTCTTTTATCTACTTGTTATATCTCGATTAGGAGATTATATTGGATTATCAGTACCATTAACTCATACAAACCTCATACTGATGATATTAACATTAAAATTATCTGGACTAGCCTTTGAAATAAATGCATCTATTAATCCACCAGCTGATGATTCAGAAGGCATAATGTCTGATGCATTAAAAAATGTTAATATTCTAGATGTTTTCCATTACGGTTTTAGCTATATGGGTCTTTTAACTGGTAAATTTATATTTTAATTAATTACAATTAATTTGGTTTTGATTTGATGGTTTACTACAGTAAACACAATATTTTTATTTATAGGACCATATTATCGATACAGAACATATTGGGATCACATACATAAACCATTCTCTAAATATGTAGATCCATGGCCTCTCACATTATGCAAACTTAAACAAATTGGATGCTTTATTGTATTATTTTTTATAATGAATTATTTATACCCTACTAAGGTAACATCCTTATTATCAGATATGAATAGAACAGAATTATGAATTATTCAGTTATTTTATATTTCAGTATATTTTAACAGAAGAATATGCAGAACGGTCTTTTCTTTATAGACATCTCTATATGTATCCAACATTTGCGCTTTTTAAACTAAGAATGTACATTGGAATGGGTTTAGCAGAATGTGGTTGTCAAATGTCTGGATTAGGGGCATATCCTTCAAAATGTACCCCTATACAAGGATTGGGACCTAAGGATTATAAAAGTACTGAGGCACTGTAAGAGCAATTTCTTAGTATTTTTTTTTTTTTTTTTTATACTTTACAATTTGGAAAAAGAATGGAACAATTAAATGTTACAGATGTAAAACACCTGAGAAATTAGAAAATGAAGAATTGAACTTTGACACTGTATACAATATGAATGTTTGGAAATTAGAAAAATGCCATTCATTAAGAACAGCTATGAAAGCATGGAATGGTTGTGTTCAGTATTGGTTTGGTGTCTATGTCTATAAACGATTTCCATTGAAAAATTTACGAATTATTGTAACTCTAGCACTTTCTGCTGTTTGGCATGGATGGGCACCTGGTTACTTTCTTTGCCTCTGTCAAATTCCACTTTTCATGTTATCTGATGATATAATTATGAAATTTTATCATCGTAGCAAAGAAAATAGTATTGTGAGTTCTATTTTTTATACTACTGTTTAAAATTATTGGTAAAAATTTTAATTTATCTTTTCCTTCTAGGCCAAAATTGTGTGGTATGCACTAGGATGGTATGTGAAAACTACTTGTATGGCATATTTAGGCGTGCAATTTATATTATTAGGTTTTGAAGATTCTATGCATTATTACAAACTTGTATATTTCTCTGGTCACATCATAGCAGTCCTACTGTATGTTATGGCTCTTTATTGCAGACCATATCTTTTACCAAAAACAACAGAGACTATGGATAAGGATAAATAATTTGTGACTTACTTTACATCACAAAATTGCATGTCTGTTTATAACTTAGATATATAGTAATATCTAAATGGAACGTGAGTTTATACCACGTTCTACGTAATTCTACGCATCAAAAGCCATCTAAAGATTTTTAGGATAGAATTAAAAGATGTTATTTTTTTAGAGTATTACATTTTTTCTTTAATAAAAATATTTATTGACATCACTTTAATGATTCAAATGCTTGTAAAAAAATGTAATACATTTTTTGTTACTATTGTTACATTAATTAATTCATAGGATAATGAAGATTTTGGACTTTTGCTCTTTAGGAAAGCGAACCAAAGGTATCCTCAGATACCAAAGATATTTAGATATTTCTAATCTTCCATTTATGCAAGTAAGGAATAAAAAATTCTATTTCTTCGATAAGAATTCTTTATTAATTGAATCCTTCACATCTCTACAAAGATTTTTATTGTTTCCCTTAAAAAAAAATCTTTTATTTAATGCAACATTGTCTTACCTCTAAAATACTTACTACTCTATCGATGTTAGCTGACACCTGAAAAAACAACACAGGAAAAGCGAAAGGATCCCATTCCCCACCCTCAACTTCCCCAATTATTTGTAATGTGGCGGCAAGTGTTTCAAGCGATGATTATATAAAAATTGGAATCATTACAGACTTTATCGAAACGATACACCGTGCAAAATTTTATACGAATATATTAAATAAACGGGTTTAATAAATCAGTTTCTTAACAAGATAAAAATTATTTTTGAAAAAGTAGACTTTAAAGTAAAACTTGTTCTTAAAATTCGCCATAGATTATTACTTTAGAAGAATCTAGTTCTAAAAGCTTATAAAATAAACCACTGAAACGAAATGAAATGTATCGTTATATGTTGATGTTAAATAATATATCAAAAGGATATTCGTATTTAGGAAATCGACTTTTAAACTCGTTCAACTTACGAATCAGACCTACACAGCTGGGAATAAAATAGTAGATAATTGGTTTCGAATGAACCATTGTTGGAGAAATTATTTCTTAAAAACACGCAAAGCAATTGGTAGACATAACAGTTGAAATGTTGAGTCATTGCTCGCGAGGTCTGGTGATGCTCACGTGCTACCTGCAAACCGGACGGTGGTCGAGACCAGCAACCGCGTGCAGCTTTTCGTTGTACTCTCTGCATATTTCTCTGCATTCTCGAGACCGTACCCTCTGCAATTTCTGCACGCCGACCCCCCACAGAGAGAGAGAGACAGCTTTCGCTCACACACTTTCTCTCTTTTTCTCGCCCTGATCGACTCGCGCGAACCTGCTTTCACCAGACCACCAACCGCTCGCTACTGCAAACTGCTTACAGCCCTGCTACTCGGCTTACTGCTTACTCTCAGCTACCCCATCATCAGCTACACTCGCCACGCCACTCCTTTCCACCGCCTGTGGCACCATAAAATTACAACTTAGTTATAAGGAATAAACGTGTTATATCCGTGTGTGAGGATTTTTATATCTTTTTTTCTTTTGTTGAAAGATGTTTATCGATCGATTAATTATACGTAATATTAAAGATAAGACCAACATTAAATGCTAAAGTTTCTTAAGTCCTAACATTTGATTTACCAAGGATTAGTGACAGTGTTATTTTATGCAACATTCGAGAAAGTTAATAACATTAAGAAATAAACAATTAAAACATTGTCCATGGTAATACAAACATCCAGAAAAATATGTGACAAACTGTACTACTAACTAATTTTTCGAATTTCTGATCTTAATTAAAAATGTTACAATGTTTTTAGTCTTGTATTGAATACTCGGTAATTCATAATCATGCCAGGTAAGTTCTTTTTATACATAAATACAAATGATAAAAGCTTTTGCGATTGATTGATCACTTTTCTGACAATATTATCTATCTCTATACGTGTAGTATTCTAAACACTGCCTAAAACTATGTGAATAGTTCTGTCTTCTGCATTTTATTATACTTTATTATAAATGGCAAACTTACATAAATAAACCTGTATGCTGTTACAGAAACGCAGAACTTATGTCTACAATCTATATATATCGTGATTCTTAATTTTTCTTTTTCTTTTTTTCTTTCCTTTTTCTAACTAATCGAGTCATAATCATAATTTGTTAATCGAGTTGTAACCATAAATAATAGGAAATTATTCAGAATTATTATGATTTAGAAATTTAGTTTAAAATTTGTACAGAAGTCGGACTGTAGTCGACCACATACAATGTACATTACCTGCTAATTACCATATTAACACCCTCATGTATTTCCAGGAATATTTAATCCACCTTGCTCGGTTTGAATAATTTCATAATGACGGGAAACGATTTCACAATTGATATTTTATCGAAACAGTTGGTTTCTTGCTATTATATATGTCACATTGTTTGAAGTATTTGTAACAACTCAAGAAATGAAAGAAAAAGAATAGACTGCTACCATTTATAACTCACTTATATCGAAATGTACTAAAAATTGTGCACACTATATTTTAAGAAACGTTATATGATCAAATTAACAACAATTTGTTTTTATTTATCCAAATGGTATATACTCGAATATTCTCTGGTCTATATTCAAAATTAGAAATTCTTGTTAATCTTTCAGAGCAGAATCAAAGACCATTCATATAAATGCTAGAGCACATTATTTTCAGAACCTTTAATAAGATCATAACGAACTTCAATTCATTGATCAAAACAAGCTGTTTCGGTCGATACAACAACGTTTATACACGCGAAAACAGAAAAACACATTTACTTTCTTCTGATCAGAAATAAGCATTGCTTGAGACAATATATCACTTAACAAAGTAAGAATAATTATGAAAAATTGCAAATGAGAATCTTCGTGAGTTTGTTAAACTCACAGTCTAAATACATTACATTAAAATTAGTTTTGGGTTCTCTTTTCAACCCAAGAAGCGCGTCGTCATAATTAATATGTAAGTGACAGAAGAAATGTGAACGTGCGACAGTGTTGCTCTAGGTATAGAGGGTAATGGAATACCTTTTTGTTCTCAAGAAACGATTATTCTGCACTCGCGGCGCGTGCATCTGTTCACAGTTGTACTTGCAATATGGTTCAGTTACTTCAGTCCCTGTATGGAGAAAAATTACATCGTATGAACAATATTTAAAGTCAATAATACATCCTGCATTAAAAGTGGATAAATTTAATTTATAGTTATAAAACTTGCCTTGATTTGGAACGACTATCTTTTTGTCTATCTGGAGATTTGCTGCGAGAACGGGATTTTCCACGCGAGCTCTTACTGTCGGAACGTGAGCGGCTGCGACTGCGACTATATGAACGCCTACGATCTCTATCGCGGCTCCTTGATCTACTACGCGATCTGGAGCGTGAGCGTCTTCGATCTCTGCTCCTACTACGTGATCTGTAAGCAATATTTTTATTAATGATTCTACTTAAAAGATATACAATAAAAATAAAGTTACATGTAATAGATAAAATAAAAACAAATATATAATAAAACAATATTTTAATAATTACTACCTTGCTCGTCGTCGGCTATTACGACTTCGATGTGGAGATGTTGGTCGTCCATATCGTGCCATTTGGACCCGAAGTTCCCTACCATCTAACAGTCTTCCATCCATAGCATCTAATGCATCTTCTGCATCTCGTTTATCATAGAATCTAAAGTAAAAATTAGCAAAAATGAAAATGTTAGTCTTGATGTATATGGTGTAAATAATTAACTACATAAGACACATTGCAATGTTTATTGGTATCTACATACAAGCTCCATTATCCAAATACTCTAATGACGTCACATTCTTAAATCGTAATTAATCATAAGATGCAAGTAACAATAAATATATAGAAAGAAAACTATTGTTTTGACATACCTGACGAACGCAAATCCACGGCTTTCTCGAGTAAAACGGTCTCTGGGTATATAAATGTCGCCGACTTCGCCACATCTTTCGAACACGCGTCTCAAATCCTCCGGCGTCGTTCGGTACGTGAGATTATCCACTTTTAGAGACACCATTCCATCGATTCGAGGCGGTGGTCTGCCGTAACTCATTTTGTTGAACTTTTCGAAATTCTTAAGAAAGATGAAAACAATACTTCAATCCAAAAATCAGTTTTAGATCAAATACCACACATCCACGCACATCGAAGACAAGATGGCGAGTGGCGGAAGAATGAATTCTACGCGCAATATGGTGGGAAATGACGTACATAAAATTTCTTACTACGTGCATCAAACTTCTTATCCTACAAAATTGTTCTCTTATTCCTAAAATAAATTATTTTTATTAATTCACTTAAAAAAGCAGGGATCTTTTATATGAATAATCACGACTTCGTTATTTAAACAAATTATAATAAAAATTAAAAAATACGAGAGATTATTTTTAAAGGAACAGGAAACTGTTCACAGATAATATTACTTTTATTAAGTATATTCCAATATTTCGCATGAATCAAATATTTCTACATCTATCTTTAATTTAATCATGTATTTCATAAAAATTCAAGATACATTTTTATATTTATTTTTACACTATTTAAGAGTAAAATGACTTGTGTCGTTTACTTCCGGACAGTTTTAAATTTAAACTCGCGATACGTATGGAGAAAACGAAAATGGCTGAAGTTGCTCTCGTTTAATTTGAAAGACAAACAAAAGTATATAATTTCTCGGTGTATTTTATATGAAAAAATATCATGGAAAATAATGAAGAACGATAGATAATCTCGGAGAAAAAGATATCGACTCGTTTTAATGTTTCATTCCCGAAGAGATTTTTATATAAAAAAATTAGATTCATCGTACAATATCGAATATACGCGGTCAATGGTAATGAACATTGATCGCAACAAATCATTAACGCATTATTTTTTATTTAAGTTTCAATGAAGCTGCATCTGTGGTATCACAACAATGCCCTTGCAATAAGATGCCCCCCAAAATAATCTGTCAACATCGCTTAAAAATCCTCCAATACAATTACAGCTTCGATCTCGTTTTACACGTTTATAAAAACGAATCATACCAACCGTAAGAAAGGGCAAACGCAATTGTTGTACATTTTGGTCCTTTGCCCGCCGATCATCTGTGTCTGTTGCATCGCATGTTTGCGCGAGACGGATGATCATCCGTTCGAAGAAAGGGTTAGCATTTTTGCGTATTTAAAAATATCGGATAAAAAAGAATTTAAAAAAGAATCGAGAAGCAAACGTGCTAACAACAAACACAGTTCGCACAATACTCTTTGACTTAGCTAGGCGGTAGGCGCAAAAATAAGAGACGTCGAGTGATCGCAATTCTCGCTCTATTCTTTTTTTTATTTTTCTGTCTTCCTTTTTCTCTAAAGATTCATCGGTGAACCGTTGGCAGAGCCACGGGCATATATGCGAAGCGTGGTCTCGAAATTAAAAAGAGAAGAAAAAAAAAGAGGGAAAATAAAGGTCGTCGTCGTAAAAGAATTCTTAACCAATCACATAGTAGCTCAATAAATACCTTAGAAATGTTTAACAGTCATCTTATTGTTACAAGATACAAAAAAGAAGAAATTCGAAAGATAGATTCTTACTGAAAGAAGAATGAAGATGAGGATGATTGATATTCTTGAATCAGATGGATAGTGCATAAAGAGCGTAGTATATAAAGAAGACAAAGTCATTTGAAAAATTAGACCCGTAAGTTAATCGAATATTTAGATACACCTGTCATGGGTGGTTCCTCGTAGATGTGCTTTACGATAATTATAAATTAAGAGAGGGTCCCAACGATTCCGCGTATGGGATACACGATTCGTTACAAGTACGATATTAAAAAATATATATATATATAACATATATGCATATGTATATATAAAACACAGGCGAAGTGAAGTCAGCAGGTCGATCGTACGGGGCAAACTTTCAAATTTCCGAACGACGGAGAGAAAAAAATTCTGATAATTCTGAAATACATGAGACCAAACTTGGACGACGCGACGTCTCTTTAAGATGCATTCGTGGGCGTGGGACGTCGCCCCGTTCAAGCCACCGCTTACACTAATTACTATTCAACAATTCAAAATACTTATAATGATACACACAACCATGAATAATCTCAACAGCTGCTGGCCTTAGCCCGAACTAACTTATTATCGTAGATATCCGTGGATACAAAAGTAATTCATTTTCTTTTTCATATTTTTTTCACCATCTCTCTCCGCTCTATTGCTACGTCGCGTATGTAATAACGTACAATGCATACATATGCTATCGCGTTTTCTGTTTTAAGTTAGTTTCCGGCCGATCAAAGCTCCGCAACGCTCATACAAAAACGCTGGTTCATCAGATCGTGCTTCGCAATCTTCCGTCATTTAATTATTTATCTCTCTGTATTTCTTTGTTGCTTCTCTCGTTCGTAATTGTTTCTTTGCTCGGTTCGCATTATGGTTGTATACAAAATATTGTAATCAGGGCACTCACAATCATCAGTCGCATACGTTTTCCTTTTTCCTTCATTTTCTTTTCCCTTTTATTTCATTTTCTTTATTTGTTTTTCCTTATTCTTCTTATTTGAAACGGAATAATACCGTGACATAACTTCGTCGTCGTATTCCGTTCTTTTTAATGGTTCTTAGATCGCAAAAAGAAAAGAAAAATAGGAAAAGAAAAACGCATCTCTCATCCGTTGCCTTTACAATAAATCTCTTTCTCGGCTTCACGTACGATTAACCCATCATTCTGTCTCACGTTTTTAATTTATATCCGTTTATTAATATTATTACGCTCGATATAAAAATAATACTCAGTCGATTAGTACAGATTTAATACTCAGTGTAAGAACTGGGGAAGGGGTCTTAGCGCTTCCAGTTTTTACCGTGTGTGTTTTTTTCTTTTTTTTTCTTACATGTGTTTCACGATTTACGCCTCTGTTATCGCTTCTTTTTCCACCGTTTATATACTTATCATGTGTATGTGAGTTTCACTTATGCATTAAGTTACGTACAATGTAAATGTGTATGTGTAATGCGTGCTTCACGCATACAATGTGTGTACATGTGTGTGACTTAGGATTTCTACCGGGGAACCCGGTGAAATCAAAAGGTTCACGGTCGCGCAGACGGACGGAACAGTGCTGCGAGTTAATTATTAATTATTTCTCAACGCAAGCCGCAGAGGTAACGACGATTCACCCCTCGTTTCTTTTTCCTTCCATCGTTCAGCGAAAACCCCTTCTCTCTGTCGTGTACAATTATGCATTCTTTGTTTCATTTCCGTTTCTTTCTTATCCTCGAGACTTTCGTATACATTTGTTCATCGTGGACACGAGATGCTTCGTACCACGGTTTTAAAAAACGGCCTCTTATCGAACAAAGATTTCTCGCATGGTGACGAAGCACCTCGCACTGATCTCGCCTACTCTCGATCCATCACTTTCGATCCAGCTCCGTTTGCACGATTACACGTCCGAGGATTACCCGCCGGTATTAATTACAAGAACCGCCATTGACTTTTTGTACCCGTTAATAAGCGATTAAAAGTCGAAGAAATATAGGTCAGAGGCACGTTTCGTAAGATGAAGAGAAAAGCTGATGGATCGAAAGCGGAAACCATTTGCGTTACAATAATGAATCTTACTCGCGTGTACGAACGCGTACACGCGAGCATCTGTATTCAACGAAATCTCCAGGTGAAGGCACCTAAAGCATTGACCGTCCGCATCTCGTACCGCATATAAACCGAGTGTGTCTCGCAGAAAAGGAGGGAATGACCATACGCGCAGTGCCTGATCATTACTTAACTAACACGTGTATTGTTTTGTTTCCCTTTTTACACACAAAAAAAAGAAAGAAAAGAAAAGAAAAAAAAGACAAAGAGAAAAGAAAAAAGAGCGAAACTCGTATAAAGTACAATGTAGAAACAATAAATTAAGCCAGTCGTTGCCAAAAATATGTCTTACGTAAACGTTGGTGCAAAAAACGGTGAGTACAATAAATTATAGTTTAAATAATTATTCAGGGGAGGGTCGCTTATGTAAAAATAGACGTACAAAACAAGGACGTAGGAGAGGAAGGGGGTGGAAATAAGGGCAGGGGGATGCGGGAAGGATTTTCGAGAAGGAAGATAACTAAATAATTTAATAATTAAGTAAGACAAATCTCGCCGTCGGGGATTCCTTTAAGTAGTGTTGGTTATAACTCTTAACAGCTAAAGTCAAACGCGTAGAATACTGATACATAAAAAAAAAAAAAAACTATAAGAAGCCTCAGCTTTTTTTTTCTTTCGTTCATCATTGTTAAAAACGAACCGTGTCGAGTGGCGGTCTTGCAACTAAATCTTATTTAAAAAGGATCATTATCGTTAACGTTTAATCAAATCGATATCAATAATATTTATATATATTTATGTATATAATTTTTGTTATTTAACAAGCTACCGCGAGCCAAATATTTATAACTGAGAGAAAAAAATGCCTAACGAAGTAACTGTCCATTGCTTTCACTTCTTTTTATCAATGTTATTTTATAAATAAGTTCATTCTCTTCACGTATGGTACACTTAAAAATGGTATTCTACAGTGTTCTGTCAACAGAATTTAAAAACTGGCAACCTACGGCTTGACCAAGAAAAGTCAGGCTTTACGAACTTTAGTAACTGATTTCGACTTCGTTCCCTAGTAAGATGTTAAGCCTAAGTATGTATCACGTATCTTTTAAATAAGTATATCGCTTAAAACAGAAATTATCTTTACTTATACGAATTTATAATTTAAGAAAATGCATGACATTTTGGAAAACGACACTGAAATTTTGGAAGATATTTACAAAACTGATTTACAATCAAAGTAAATAAAATATGAAATATATTCTTGTCAGGACTTATTTAAAAGATATGTTACTTTTAAACCTGCTTATAGAACAGGAAGTATATCAAATATGTACTAAATGGAAGGATCATTTCGACGTATGAGA